TGACTGCATCGATATTGCTTCGAATGGGCAATGGTGATTCACTTTTATAACGACCTCCGGATTTGGTATTGAAAACGATGTCCATATTAGGCTTTGATATGCAATCTTATTGTTATAACCTTCCTCTGAAATTCACCAATTGACCTTCTTGATCGATAATTCTCACCTGGCGATGATCTATTGCCTGCACGGCGATCGGGAGATAAATAATGTTTGATGGCACTCAATGATCTTATATCCTGGTGGAACAGTCGGGAAGAACTCATGGACAGTGTGTACTCGCTATTCATTGATGTACGCTCCAGTGGTGATGTAGCACTCGACTCGCAGAGAATTGACCTTGAGAATCGTCACTGGTGAGTCAGATTCATGACTGATATGGGACGGGAGGATACCGTGTGTGAAGCTCAATAACCGCCTAATCAAATCTTCTGGATCAAAATATATCGGGTGACTGCACTTGATTATACCCTTCAAATTGTTATTGTTGGGCTTAAGGCTGATATTTATTTTATATTCAGCGACCTTCCCAACCAAGAAATTCTCAATATCTTCAATTTCGTAGCTCCCTGTAGGTATTTCAATAACTCTATCGCCCACAAAAAATTTTTTATTCCCGGTGTCAATATTGGGAATGGAATTGAAGGTTAATAATTCAGCCGATCCCAGAGTATAATTCGTCAATGGTGATAATTCAATTGGAGGAAAGTAATGAGCCTCCAACACCGAAGAGGTGCCTGATAATGTCAATGTAAAAGAGTCACTCATCGCAGCTGATATCTAACTAATGCTTATAGAGTAACGTATTGAGGTTTTATATCATTTCTCCATTGAGAAATTTCTTACATAAATGTCCACACACCACCTTATCATAATCTTGATAGCGTTCATGATTGTACTTGACAATGCTACCAACACCGTAGTAATCCATCGTCTTGAGGTGGACGAAGATTACCAAAACTATCAAAATAGATAATTTCATTCCTCCATTTCTTGTATGCGACCCAATGCGTTCCAGACCCGTCCTTATCATCAAGATTGACAATAGCCGATTCGTATTTGCGTGGACCTGACTTGGTCATTTCGTTCCTCATGTATACGCCACGAAAATGTGAGAGTCTCATAACCTTGGCGTATTTCATCAAGTCGGCATCGGTGAGAGCTCGGTGTGGTAGCTTTATGCGTTTTTTAAATGGAGACCCAAGCCCTTCTTGTAGGGTTTTAAGTACAATCCTTTGCCCAATGCAATGGACTCCATTGTCTCATTATATCTCATACTCTCCTGAAGAGCTTTCTTAGCTGCATTAGCGTTATTGATGGCTCTTGCAATTCCTCCTGCACCACCAGATACAGCTCCGGTGGCACGCAAGCCCGCAAACAGCGGTATCAAGAAGGGTATTATACCTCCAATTTTGGCCGGTATAGGTAGAATGCGAGGTAATCGCACCTGCTTTTTACCACCAATCCTTTTCACTGCGGCGCGTGCGCCTTCGAGCGCCGTTTTGATGGCGTCGGTTCCTGGACGCATAGATGTTTTGGCAGCTTGTGAAATTTGTCGCAGGGACACTTTTTTCTTTCTTCCACATCCACCACCACTACGTTTCCCTCTCTTCTTTGTAACTCCTTTGCTTGGTTTTATCCCCATGCCTAGGGAGGTTCTTGCTGTCATGGTATTAGCTGTATCCCAAGCGGCAGCTTTCTCATCAAGACCTGCGTCGTTTGATAAGACTCGTTTCCAGGCTTTTTCCGTGAGAATTTTATCTGCTTCATGTCGTGCAGTGAGGTTATCTCTATTTCTCGAGTAGGCTATGTCATGTTCTTTACAGGCGGCGTCAAGTAGATTAATGCCAGGGTCACCCCGTTTCAATCGTTTCTGTAGTTTGGTACCGGGGCCACAATACTGGTAGCCCCGTATATGTAATTCCACAGGGAGTTTATTGATGAGACTATTCACTAACCCTTCACCTTGACGTTATTTCTTACGTTTACACACTTTTATGTCTATACAAGGACTGACTAGTGATGAGATCAACACCGTGTATTTATAGGTCAGCGACTGAACTGGTGGTAGATACTGAGCAAGCGTGATGATGCTTGACCATTAACGGCCATCGAATCGAAAATCTATAAATGACAGATTTTAATTATCCTGCAGTCAGTCATCAACCATGCGCTTCAAAGAGCAGAACACTAAACTACCAATAATGAACTTCGATGAGTAAACGCGAAAAACGAAGACTAGGGAGAGACGTCATGGGCCTCTATTACTAAATAGTATGCGCGCAGTAATCTATGGACCCTCAAATTGTGAAAAAATAAACGCTCTATTAGCGCTCATAGTCCACGCCAATGGTTTGAGATTTGAGAATATCTACGTATACTCAAAATCTCTCAATCAACCTAAGTACCAGTTACTCAAACGTCTGCTCTTCCCTGTTAAGGGTATAGGATGTTTCTCCTTCAGCGAGCATGGGGAAGTCATCAAGCCAGAGGATGCCCGACCAAATTCCATCATCATTTTCGATGATGTGGCCTGCGAGAAATAGGATAATCTGCGAGCATTCTCCTGCATGGGACGACATAGAGATGTCGACAGATTCTATCTCTGTCAAACATATGCTCACGTACCCAAACATCTCATGCGGGACAACACCAATCTCCTAATACTCTTCCGCCAAGACGACATGAATCTGAAGCACATTTATGAGGATCATGTGAATACTGATATGTCATTTGCTGAGTTCAAGGACTTGTGTGCCAAGTGTTGGAATGAGGGCAAATACAGTTTCATGGTGATTGATAAAGACAGTGAAATTGATGAGGGCAGTAATCGAAAAGGATTCGATAGTTTCCTGAAGAGATAGATACGCTCCATTCAAAGAGATTGAGAGTAGTTGTTGGCCGAACGCACAACTGTCAACATGCAGAGCGAAAATTTCATGAAGGAGATGCATATCTTGCGGAATATTGCTCAGGCGAGTAATACTATTCGCCGCAAGCATAAAATGATAAAATTGGGTAGAGCAATTACCGAGAAAGCTGTGAATGAAGTGTTCAAACCAGTGATAACTCTTCTTTAAAAATTGGTAGATCAGTCGGTAATGAAGGAATCGTCACATAAGAAGGACGAAGAGAAGAAAATATTCGCTACTGCGATACGGTTGAAGGAGGAGAAGGATGACGATTTTGATGATTCTTCTGAATATCAAACTCTGGTAGATCTCCCATTCAACATAGAAGAAGCACATTCAAGCACTCCAATGAAGAAAATATCACCAATAAAAGTCACGACTCCAACTGATCGTATTTCATCAACTAAGCTGGAATCTCCTATAGCGTCACAGAAGCTTCTTCAAACGTATTTGGATCGTTATAATATAGAGCGCGAAGATAGCGATTTGGATAAGGAATTTGGTACTCGTTACCTGAAAAGCGGTATGAAGATTGGTGATTCATTGGTCACGTTCCATGGAGATTCAATGACCCTCAAGGGTGAGGAATATACACTGACTCCAGGTTTAATCGAATTGATCTTTAAGAAATCACCCAACATGAGTCTCATAACCGAAACCGATAAACATACCTACGGTGATATCATACGGAGTACGAATGCACATCGAATGTACATCGAATGTACACACCAAATGGAGCTCTTCGAAAAAGTAACATGATGAAATATCGTATCATTATTGAAGAGCTCATCAAATCTAAGAAAACTGGAACGGCTCTCCCTCATCATATAATTGCTTCAGCGAAACATAGGAAAATTGACTATGTGTACTGGGACGATCCTAATGAGCTGGTGGATAGACTTCGACTGCTTATGAAATCACAGTCAGCCGGAAATATGAGTCACGCCAATGAAATTATGTCAATAATCGAGGAATTACGTGAAGCTGATATTATTTATTGAGCTGTAGTCGCAATAATCCCATCATTTGAAACATGAGTGTCGACGAGTTCGGACGCCAGTTGGGCACTGGTGCTGTGAAAACTATCAATAGTCACGCCTGATGGACACTACGATATGGATCATCGCAGATTATGTAATTTAGCGGATCCTGAAGAAGAGAATGACGCTACATCTTTGAAGATATTGCGCAGTATGTTGAAGGAGGAGCTTCGTCTCATATATAATGTGACTTGATCCATGGGTGGTAGACTTGATGGGATTGAAACGATGATTGAATCATTTCGAGCGAATTTCCTGGAGACTATGAGACGAAGAGGTGTTAGTGAGGAGGAAGTACAAGAACGTTTGAGCAGTCATTCTGAGACCATTCAACGTCTAAACGAGGAGCTGATAAAAGTAAAAGATTCCGTCATACATGAGACGAAGTTGTTGATAGATGGTTTATATTCACTGATAAACGAGCAATTGGACGGAATAAGAAAAGAAGAAGCGACTAACCAGAATTTGGCACTACGCAATTCTGAAATAATTAGTGATCTGGATAGACGTCTAATTGCACTGGAGAATGGACGATAAAAAGGCGACAGTAGTGGAGGAGCTCCATAGACCTGCTCGCAGGAATTATGCTCGTCGACGTGTTGAAGTCCGCGGGGTGGATGAGACATGGCAGGCAGACCTTGTGGATATGAGTGCCTATGCTCATGAGAATGGAGGTTACAAATACCTCCTAACAGTTATCGATATCTTCTCGAAATATGCCTGGACTGTTCCGACCAAGACGAGGAATGGGAAGGATGTGAGCAGTGCTATGGCCTCCGTACTTGAACAGGGTCGTGTACCACAGAAGCTGCATGTGGACAGAGGCAAAGAGTTTTACAATAGCGAATTCAAAAAGCTCATGCAAGATTATGGGATTACCATGTACTCAACCTTTAGTTATCTCAAAGCATGAATCTGTGAGCGATTCAATCGCACACTAAAAGAGAAGATGTGGAAACAGTTTAGCTTACAAGAAACATATCAGTGAATTCCTATAGTGAAGAGTCTCGTTCAGTCCTATAATGACACCAAACATCGCACCATCCGGATGAAACCTAAAGATGTCACTGCTGCTCATGAGAAGTACTTGTTACGTCATATCTATAGAGAACTCACAACTCCTCGCATAAAGAAAATCAAGTTCAAGGTTGGAGATAAGGTGCGCGTCAGCAAGTACAAGAATATATTCGAGAAAGGATATACACGCAACTGGACGACGGAGATATTCACGATAAGTGAAGTTGTAAACATCAATCCTGTGACCTTCAAGCTCATCGACTATGAGGACCAACCAATTGAGGGTGGATTCTACCAGGAGGAGTTAACGAAGGTCACATATCCTGACGTTTACCTCGTGGAGAAAATACTCCGAAGACGTGGAAACAAAGTCTTTGTCAAGTGGGTGGGTTTTGATAATTCACACAATAACTGAATAGATAAGGATGCATTGTAATAAATAAATAGATAATAAAAAACTCATTTTTCGAACTTTTTTTCTTTTATTTACAATACCCATATGGCACAGTAACATGAGAGTTTGAGCAGAGTAGTCTCTTGTCATCTTCCCAGGTTAGAGCTAATTTCTTCTGGTGTATAGTATGCACATCGTGCTTACTACTTTTGATTAAATACTGGGCCTCGATTAAATGTTCATGATTCTACAGACAATCTTTGTAATTATCGAACGTAATCCTTTTCAGTGTCGACCGTCTCACTCCTTTCGCACGTTTCTTCGCTCTCTCATCACCATGAATTTTAAACGTGTACAATTTTGCTCTCAAACCAACAAACTCACTCATCACTTTTCCATTGCACTCATCCTCCATAAGTCCTAATACTTTCTTATTCACGAGCGGCATTCCATAAACATTATCGCTTGGATAATCGCATGTATCAAATCGAGCAATATCACGTTTCATACATTCATAAATATCAGGTACTTTGAACTCATACAAAAGACTGTCTGTATCCGTATACATGAGCTTAGCACTATCACCAAATTCTCGTTTAGTATAATCGTAATGGAAATCATAGATGAATATTTTGGATAGATCCAGAATTGAGAAACCAACGTAAATGGGTTTGTTGAAGTACATTTTTGTACGCTCCAATTGAACAATGACTAAATCATCAGCAAAGATGGTGCAACTGTGGAAGTTGTGCTGAGCGATGCGAACTTTGGCACCATATCTCCCCTCCCATTTCGTCACCAACTTCACGTCTTTTTGTGAGTAACAAAAATTTGTAAACCTAAATTTGAATCCGTCAGATCATTCCAGGGATTGGAATTTTAGCTACATAGATTTCTGTAAAATCACGCTTATGTTTTTGTAAACCGAATAGTTATCCAAAATATATTTAACTTCAAACTTGATTCCCTGTGCAACTCCAAATTTCTTGATTAGAAATTAGTCTCAACTCAAGCCCTATCCCTAAATCAAACCCTATTTCCCTTATATTTAAAAAAAAGGTAAAAGTATAAAACTTTGCGTCGTCCAATAATTATAAAATTCAATAATTTTAGCTTTGATTTTAATGTGACAATTAAAACATGTCCATTCGACGCTAAAATCCTTCTCTGGACATAACAGTTTCCTGACATTCTCAATGGTTTTTCCGAAAACTGAATTGTTCATCAACTTGAAGAAATTCTTCTCAAACTCATTGCTCGATTGCGTTCTCAATTCTTTATTGAGGTCAATGTACGGTTTCAGCCATGGCGCCTGATTGAATTCCAGTACTCGGTGAATTTTCGTCAATTTTAGCCCCAAATTCAGACTTTGCTTGAGATTCTTATAGTGAATCACACAGTTTTTCTTAGGAAGCAATGTCATCATTAATTTCGAGATTTTCTTATTTGGGGGAACGAAATGTTCCGGGCAAAGTGGTAGATCCTTGTGGGTCTCAAAGAGCTCCTTGGGATACTCCAAGTCGACCTCAAGCATGTAGCCTTTGCTCGAATCATCTACAATTGTATGGATATCAACTATTGATGGAATAACCCACTGGAATGAGTCATAAGGTAAGTATTGGGACATAGCTGCTCCGTACAAGTTGTTCACATCGAACTACATCAGATAAGAAGTCACTTTGTTGAGGTCGAATTTTTCACCCATGTACTTATTGTTGGCACAAGCGTACCGATTGGAGCATTGAGCCACCCCTCCTCGAATCCCCTTCTCAATGAATAAGTGCATCTCAATGTCGGTGAAAAGCTCAAGGTTGACACCAGTGCATTTCAGCATAGCATCAAATGCTAATCCTGGTGCCGTGTAGTAATGAAGGGGATCGAGTTTGTACACCGAAGAACAAGTACGTCTGAAATTTTGGAAGATCTCCGCCAAAAGCACGACATCTGTTGCCAGGTAGATGTCGGAGTATTCACCCAAGGATGTGATGCCAAAAACATCCCAAACTCTCTGCGCATGCGCATAATCCTCAGCAGAGACACTCTCATCATTCAATTTCGAATAGAATTTCTCGATGGGAGGCAACTGAGGGTCATTGAGTTTCTCCCAAGAGTCCACGTACTCGTATGGGAAGACTCCTTTCCTAGTCAAAAGCTGAAATTTCTCCACATCGTCATTGCAGTATTTTTGAGTAATGGATTTGTCTGAATCATTGAGGTAGGATACCAATTTCTGCAAACTACTCGCCATGAACCGGAATGAGTCAATAAACCGAAATCGAACCTCCGTCTCATCAACGTGTTTCGTGAAGGAGATGTACTTTTCCTTATTGAGAGCGAGCAGATCTACTGAACCTGGGAATTGTGTTGCAAGAGTCTTGATGAGAAAATGTGAGTCGTAGCCGGAGAGGTTATGAAAAACTACTGGGATTGTGTGAGAGTTCTTGTAGTTGACATTACATCCCGGGTGCGCTGGACCGCGATACTTGCCCGTGACGTGGCAGTGATTGGGGTGTTTCTTATCAGTTGGACCGAAGGGTTTCTCGCAAATGTGAGAAACGTGAGCATTAGCAAAGTCCCAAGCTTGCTGAGGTGTGAGAGGCTCCATCGGTACGTTTGTCTTCAAACAGGTATCGACCTCATGAGCTATTCTTAGCAATTCATCTATGAACCATTTGATACAATCGGGCCCACGATTCATCTTGAATTGTGATCGAGTGTCATCAAAAGCACAATGCAAGTAAAACGCTACACTATGAGGGATGTGCTTGTGATACACCATTCAGATTTAGTTGGTTCCAAGATGCACTCCAAATCTGCATAGATAACAGATGGAACCATTTCCTTAAATCGATAATTCGTCAAACTCAGAATATGTTTACCCTCTTCTGGTAGCACCATTCTGTGCTTGTTAATCTCAATACAGTCTTTCTCATGATTCTTGTATGATGATTTTGTGACAAATCAGCCTAAACAGTGATCACAAAACTCTATATGATGATTATGACTGGATAATTGTGGACTTACTAATCGAGACAAATTCTTAATCCAAGCGAAATGATATATGGGTTGCGTATCGTGTTCTATTTGTGCATTATCCCAAAGCAACAAGAGATGAATCGTGGGCCAGATAGACTTGGTTTTACTTAAATATAGAGGTACAATATCTTTATCATCATCTATACTGTAAACATTGATCGATAGTCCATTTATTCACTCGAATTTCGGAATGTTCTTCAACTGCATCGGAAACTCCAGGCCGGTGTAGTTGAGATGTGTCACTCCATCCGGTAGAACAGCCTCAGAGTAATGAGGATATGAGTTTTAGACGATCGGAATGCATTGTAGCTGGGTGTAACGCTGCTGTCACCGCCCACAGAAAACAATGCTCATCATTGTTCTTGATGTTCGCTACTGCTTTCTTGGACTGCACGTGTTGAGGTAGTGAGATGAATGTATTCGCGCCCGCTGCAAGTGGTACATACTTCCCACTCTGAGCCTTTCTCTCTATTTNAACGCTGCTGTCACCGCCCACAGAAAACAATGCTCATCATTGTTCTTGATGTTCGCTACTGCTTTCTTGGACTGCACGTGTTGAGGTAGTGAGATGAATGTATTCGCGCCCGCTGCAAGTGGTACATACTTCCCACTCTGAGCCTTTCTCTCTATTTCGAGCAGTCGTTCTGTGAGATTCTGATCGAACCATTCCTCGATATTGGTAGTAGGTAAAAGGATCTGATTTTTGGTGTTGAAATATTTTGTCTCTTCAATCACTTCACCATTCTTCTTCACTTGAAACTTGCAGGCGAGGACTCCATTGGCCTTGATATTTCTTTGTTGTTGTAGAGCTTACTGCAAACGAACGACTGCCAGACATATGGCATCTTTCAGGAAAGACTGAGGATCCTTGTGATTCAGATTAACGATCACTCCTGTTCTGATTCGGTTCTTCAAAGCCGATTCTGAGATCCTTTCAGAGTACTTCATCTTTTGGTTTCGATGGGACACCGATTGCTCCACCATGCTGTGGCTTCTTCTTCTCTTTGAATCGCTCGCAATATGTGTGGAGCAATGAAATTGTTGTCTGTATCCTTATTTTTGTGCAACGGAAAGATTTTCAATTTTCTTCAAAGCTTTCTCGTAAAGTCGGATATGATGTTGACCCTTTTCAATCCAACGATCAATATCTTGAAAAGATGCACTCTTATATGCCAACTGCAGCCTCTCCAACACTTTCAAGCAAGACTTGGGATCCATTTTGATGTGATCGCTTATAAATCTACACACACGACGAAACCTTGTTTGCTAGCAGGCGACTTGCGAACTGACCGGAGTCGCGCAAACAGCATGCCTTTTATAGGGAAGGCCTAAGATAATTTTGTTCGGTTCAGATAAAATTGCAGATGATTTCCGATTTAGATATTTTTCGAATAATTCCATACAACGAATTCTACTGGTGGATAGAAATTCAGATAGCGTTCTAGATAATTCTTCTAGATGATTTCCCTAGATAATTCTATACAACGAATTCTATTGGTGGAGAGAGATTCAGATAAAGCTCGAGATACAGTTCTAGATAATTCTTCTAGATGAATTCCCTAGATAATTCTATACAACGAATGCTATTGGTCGGGAGCGATTCATTGAGAATTTCAGATAAATTCCAAGATAATGCTTCTAGAGAATTTCCCTAGAAAATTCCGTAGATAATCCTATACAGCGAATCCTATTGGTCAAGAGCGGTTCAGGTAATACTGAAGTCTTTCTAATCTTAGAAACCTTTCGGAAGGAAATGCTCAAAATATGTGCGCATTTTCTATAGGAACGGATAATTCTTCACTTAGTCCAGATGTACGACGCAATTATACAGGAACGAACATGTTTCAGTAGATTGACAACAATTCCGAGAACTGTTTGCGTCACGACCTTCGAAGTATTTATATCTAAGTACAGTACAAACTACCCAATTAGGATAAACACATTCCAAGGTTGCATTCTATTGTTCGTAAACAATTCTTGGAACTGTTTACATCGCGGCCTTTGAAATGTCGACGTTTGGGCACAATACAAACTACGCAATTCGGTGAAACACGTTCCAAGGTTGCATTCCATTGGTCGTGAACGATTCTTGGAACAGTTTACATTGCAATCTTCCAAGTGTCGACATCTAAGCGGAGTACAAACTACGTAATTTAAGCAACAGCGCTACAAGGTTGCATTCCATTCTTCGTAAACAATTTTTGGAGCTATTTACGTCGCGACCTTGGAAGTATTTACATTTAAGTGCAGTACAAACTACGCAATTCGGATAAACACGTTCCAAGGTTGCATTTCATTGGTCGTAAACGATTCTTGGAACAGTTTGCATCGCAATCTGCGAAGTATCGACATTTAAGCGCAGTACAAACTACGTAATTTGAGCATACGCGTCCCAAGATTGCATTCCACTAGATGTAAACAATTCTTGGAACTGTTTACGTCCCGATCTTCCACGTGTTGACGTTTAAGCGCAGTACAAACTGCGTAATTTGGATAAACACGTTCCAAGGTTGCATTGGGTATGGACAAATCTTGGAACTATTTACGTCGCGATCCTAGAAATGTTGACGCATTGTTATGGGAAAATATGTGCCTGCATTTCTTTCAATTTGCCTTCATCCTTGGAAAATAAAAAACAGTACCACACAAAAATCGCGATGCGGTATTCAAAAATCAGAATGCAGTATTCGGAAATCTGAAAGCAGCATTTAGAAATCATAATGTACGATTCAGAAATGAAAAATCAGAAATCAGGAATCAGAATCAGAAATTGGAGAGAAGCGATCAGCAGCCCGCGAGTGGCATTGCATTGCAGCCAGTAGCACTCTACCTCACCGACTCACTCCTGCCTCAAACTCAACTCGCATATCGCCAGGTGGCGCTTGCCACTAAGTATGACGCCCCATCGAATGCTATGCGTGCACGACTCCCAACGTCACGCCCACACGCGCACGATCTTCGCCTCGCTGACAATATCCCCCAACCAAAAGCCCCTATTTACAACCCCCTCACGCCGACCCATTCTATCCACAGTGGCAACCCATTACGAAAATTCAAATTTTCCGCGCTCTGATTGGCAAATGGACTCACCCAGTCCTGACCCTGGTGATATTTAATTAGTGGAATTCGAATTTGCCGCGCTTTTGTCACGTTACTTCCGGTTGGTCACGTAGCCCCCTCCCCCGCCTCGCCGGCCCTCTAGTGGTGAATTTTCGAATTTCATGCCACGACGTCACTTCCGGTTTGGTGATAAGTTCAAATTTCCCGCTTTCTTCTGACGTCACTTCCGGTTTTGGTGGTCCAGAACCGGCACTGCATATCTACTTGCACGATATTTTCCCCATTCAACCAAAGTTTCTTTATTTTTGGATTTCCCGATTTTCTATAAAATTAAGGGTTTTAGCTCGATTTTCTTTCTGATTGGAGTTCTAGTTGTTTCGTTATATTAGCGACGCCTGTCCTAAGACCGAGCGACCGAATCCACTCTCCTCTCCGATTTTTCTCCCGAGTTAGCTGGATATAATTCCGCACTCTCTCTCTCTCTCTCTCTCTCTCTCTCTCTCTCTCTCTCTGATTTTCCCAATCTCCAGTTATATTTTTGTTTCTCCCTCTTCGTTTCTTACATTTACGTTTGTTGTAAGATTTGTTGTTACGTTTGTTGAGGATTTTCATTGCGGATGGAGGACTTTGGATTTCGTTTGGATCATTTGGAAATCGTCGTCACAACCCGTTCACCAAATCATGTCAGCTCGTCCGTCAGAACCATTTCCACTCTTCACACACACTGAGCTAGACTATGCTAAACCTGTTGACACTCGCACAACTCCAGGACGCGGATGCAAATCGCACTAGGGCTACATCCCGCTCTTTGTGTGTATGGTCACTCACGCAATCTACTTGGTACTAGAGACAGACTATTCAACACCGACATTCTTGGCTGCATTCGACAGATTTACACCACGTCATAGATTACGATCTGATTTATAGAGCGACAACGGTACCACCTTCCAAGGTGCAGAACGCGAACTCAGGGAAGTCATAGACGAATTGTGCCAGAATCCTGACGTACAGGCCAACATCGCAACGAAAAGGAGCGAGTGATACTTCATCCCTCCCAGCTCTCCACATTTCGGCGGACTTTGTGAAGCAGGAATGAAGGCAGTAAAGCCTTGTAAGGAGTGTATGTATATGTGGACGTCCGCATGGAAAGGGACCACTTTGTCGAATTTAGTTTCCGAGATAATCGCAGTTTTCTGATTACGGTTCAGATTTGTCTTTTTTTTTTATTGCTTACTAATGAACTGCAGGTCCTCCCACGTCGAATCGCGCAAATTAAATGGCTCTATCTCTATTACAAGTATGTTTTTCGATTTTTTGGAGAAAAAAGAAAAGGGACCACTTTGTCGTCTCCTGAGAAAATCCAGGAATTTTTTGATTTTTCAACAGTTTATCGCATTCTATGGTACATCAGGGAATGTGAACACATTATCACACTTATATTTAGTGATTTTTATCATAACAAGTGGACAATTATTATTTTTTTTATAACTGGGTAATTCATTTTTACTGATGAATTAGAAATTTGCTTCCGAATGGATATTCCTACGCAGATCAGGCCCTTATTTCTGGCCCTTGCTTCTGACCCTAATTTCTTACTCTTAT